CTACTGCCTTACTCCTTGACCATTTCACTAATGTAGCTCATTTCCTTGGCCCCTGTATGTATGTACTTCAGTTTGTTGATTTGTTAGAAAGGGTCTTCTAAAAAAAATCATCCTTTGAAAAAACAGGTCTGCCTCAGCACTTTGAGGACAGCCACATGGGCTTGTGTCATTGGACTTTGTCTAGGAGTTGGAGACAGAACCTGCAGTCCAGAGTCCATAACTGAGACACTTGGAAACATGACACTCTTCTATGCGGAGGGATAGGAATCACGAATCCCATCTTCTTTGTGTGCCTCACTTCCTTTAGATAAGCAAGATTTGGTCATGAGAAATTTATTGTATTCACAGAGGATTTTCATAGCCTTCGAAGGGATTGTATGGATCTAGTTCATTTTATTAACAACTTTGATTTCTTGGTAAAGAAACTAAGAAACAGAGAAAAGATGACTCATGGAAGGGGACATAGTTCACTTTGTAAAAGGATCTGGTAAAAGTCTTCCCCACTGTGGTCTCAGTTCTCTCTGTGACTCTATATTGCCTGTGATTTTATATGTTTATAAAAAGGCCTGAATTAAAGGACTTTGATATTCAAGGCTGCTGGGGCACCCCTTCTCCAAAAGGCTAAAATGCCTAATTTTTAAACAGAGAAGTTCTTTTACCACCATACATTTCTGAGTCACAGTAATCTTCTTCACCCACAGCTATCCTTTTTTTTTTACTTGGTTACTACCAGATAATTATAGACAAGCCACTTTAAAATTAGTGTTTAAATTTCAGGCAGGAAGTAGAGCCAAGTGTAAATTTTGCCCTTGAGTCGATCTGTTTCCCAAACCTTGATAGATTCTCTTGGTTAGAGGTACATTAATGGTAAGACAGCTGTTGGCACCTCAGATTTTTACACAGGAGTGAGATGCTTCCTGTTCATCTGTTTTCCGTTGCTGCCATTTCTTCTTCTCTTCTTGATGCCTCTATCTTTTGCCTCTCTTTTCTAACTGCATTTTCTACTTGATTCTTGAGTATAAGGGCTGAATGACTGATAATACTGATGTTGAAAATGAGCCAAGAACCACTATTCTGGAGGTCATTTTGGGAGTGAAATTTTAATCTCATTTACTCAGGTTTGCAATTTTATATTTATTAAAATTGGGAAATGTTTAAAAAATGTTGACTGGTGGGCTCAAGTCTCTCCTTTAAAAATTATATAAATTTTAGTTTCTGTATATTTGGTATTGATCAAATAAATAAATTGAGATCATCAGTAAACTGCATTTATGAATTTTCTCAGTTCATATTTTTTAAAAATGATAGCTCCATTTCTTTTCATCTCAGCAGTTTTCGCTTGATGGTGACAGATGGGAATGACTGAAATGCCATTTGCTTTTAACAATTTCACCAAAATTTTCTGTGGAATAACCACAGAAGACTCATAATAAAGGATGTGATCAAAAGCAAGACAACCCATTCCAATTTTACCAAAAGGAATGACATAGAGAAATGTAGTCAGAAAACTTATGAAATAAATTTGAGACCTGGTGTTTTCTTCTAGCTTGTACGATTCTAGGCATTCATCAGGAATCCTCATTCTTCCAAGATTACGAAGAAATGATGATGTGTTGAATATTTAGAATGTTTTGAGATCCTAATTGTTAGTAGCCAAGAAACTTTTGGTTCTGTTTCTGCTTATATTGGTAATTTGGTTGTGTAACTGCAGAAACCCTAATTTTCTTTACTACATTGGGTTTCCCATAAGTAGGAGTTTTAATTTTTGCTGACTGTATGGTATCACGGGGGAACTCCCAAGTATGACACTTATTGTTAAGCTTTTTAGATGCTTTTTAGAAGAAAATTCTCTCTTTTTTTAAAGCCTGTGCCTTTAATATGGATTACATGAGAAAAGTCCCAGTTTTGGGAAAGTCCCAGTTTTACCTGAGTGTTACAGTTAGAATTTTGTTCTGTTTCTATCAGCCTGTGTTCCAGGGGAAATGGAAGGTTTCTGTAGATCTCTGATTCAGTAAATCATGGGTTGACAGCTCAGAATATATTTTTAAGGACTCTATAGATACAGCATCCCCTACTTTAGCAAAAATGAACCTTTCATTCACATAATCACTAGCAAATCCTGATAACATGGATGGTAGATGTCATTTTTGTTTTCTTTTTCCAAAAAAGCACATGCAAGGAAAAAATGAAGTTATTAAAGATCAAGCCAAATATGACCAAATTTAGTGGGAATCTCACACATAGACACAAACATGAAACTATCTCCTTAATTAAGGCAATGGCTCTGCTGGGGCCCACATTCCAGGATTCTCAGTAGAGAAAACATGTTTTCTTTGTAGGGGAGTTTTATTAGCAGCAATGTTCCGGTATGTGGTTCAGGTTAATTAATGATGTAGTCCCACTGGTGTCTTGCCATGAGTTTTATTCCAGTAAGTAGGGCACTAGGAAATCGCACTGGCATATCTTGTCATGCCAAAAAGGAATTCTTAATTTGGACCCTAAAAACTCATTTCCATGAGGTCTGTCAACAAGGTAATTTAAGAATTCTTAATGCGGCTACAGCCTTATACTAAGAATTAACTCACCATAGACCCTAAGTAGCACATGCAGTGATTTCAGTGAATGTGTGCGGCTCTTAAATATTTTGTTGGCTGAGATGATTGAGACCTCGAAGATCCAGGCCACTCGCAAGCTCTGTTGGAACTGACCTTCACCGCGTAAGGAGGTTTGCACTAAGAACCAGCTTTTCCCCATGAGAGGTGTTTAAAAATGTTTTTAAATCATGGTGATGTTTTAAAACTTAATTTGTGTTGTGCATGTGTAGCAACCTTCCTTGGAGGTTGAAACAACAAAGCAACTGGATGGGAAATTAGATTTTCCCCCTTATGCTGCTAATGTAGTTCTGTTCCGTTGGGATTCCCCTTTGCATGGGCCGATGATTTCTTTGAAACTATATGGAAATTGGTTCAGACAGGAACAAAGGGGAGAGGGGATGGCACTGATGATTCAAATTAGTGTCTCTTCTTCAGTGAGAGCCGGGTGTGCTTGAAAGTGCATGTCATCCAATATTCGCAGAGCCACCTAAGGTTAAGTGAGGTGCCGCAGTGACTGGAAGCCAAACTTTGGGGTCTCAGTGTTTGATACTTTCCTGTCAAGTTGGGTTGAATTGTTAATTTGAAATCTGCAGCATCATAATGTGGTTCAGAAATGGGCCAAGCATCATTTTACTTTTCTTTACACGGTGGAAAAACCACCTCTTTCTTTTTCCTTCATCTTTTTTTCCACTCAGCATGGGAAAGATTCCTGTTGCCTAACGTAATGAATAAGAAAGGAAACAGCTTTGTGACTCTGGGAACAATGATATGTGTAGAAAAAGGCATCTGAAATGCATTAAAAAGAATATATATTTCATTGTCAGTGGCAGGCGTGCAAACACACACATACACACATTTATAGAAATCTTGTACAGCTTCTATTCAAGAGTTTCACCCTCCACTCTTACCTAGTTCAAACACCATCCCCTCTTAATTGGACTTTGGCTCACTTCCAGGGTCTGAGAGTTCTGTATCTGTGAAATAATGATCCTGAAATAAGTCGCACCTCTCAGTAGAGATACCTTTTTATGTAAAATTCTTAAAGGGAATAGAGAGGAAGGAAATGCTTCTGTGTTTGGGAATTTATGGGAAAGACACAAGAATGGGCCAAAACAGGAATTTTAGAAGACCTGAGTGGAGGGCTATTCAGGATGACAGAAAATATGAGTCCTTAAAGACTACTAGATTTTAATGGACCTTTTCATTTAAAGACCTTTTATTTATGGACTGATAGCATATGCTAATGTTGTAGAATAAATTGGCATGAGCCTCCAGTGCTTTGGAGACTGGTGGGCAGGTTGCCTTTCTCAGGGAGATCCTTTTAGGATGAGAATAGATGATAAAAAGTGGGCTGAGCCTCTTTCTTTATTCTGTTCCCTCAGGACACCAGTTAATAAGCACCTGTCACGGAGGTGCAGAAGAGGGCAAGTTTTGTTCATCGTAGTGACACTGGAGCACATGATGCAATAAAAACTGCTAAGAAGAAATGGGTAGGTGTTCACATCTGCTTGAAATGGGCAGATGTGAGCACACGGGACAGGTCTCTGTCTTGATAAGAGGCTCCTTTGCACTCCTTCTGATGAGTGTAAATCACTCAGTGCATTATCAGTGCTAAAACTTGAACTGAGGAGAAAGATAATGGAGTCTTTTGGCCTAATCAGGTGGGCATTTTAGGATCAATTTCCTGGCTGGATGGACTAGCTCAGGCATTCCTTGGAATACCTGAATTAATGGCTTCATTGATTGATTCAACTAGTGTGTTTTGGATGTTGTTACCAGGCACTGTGGTGGGCACTCAGGATTTGTTGACACATAAGTCTCTGTTCTCCTGGGACTTTCATTCCGGTTGGAAAAAGGTACACAGTAAACAAATAAACAAATAATTGCAATCTTTCAGGATCTCATAAGCACTGAAAAGCAAAGAAAACAAGGTGGTGTGATAGAGAATGATGAGCTATTTGAGCTAGGTTGTCAAGGCAGGTCAAAGAGGGGCTTTCTGGATAGGTAACAATGAAGATGACACATGATATATTAAAAGGAAGCAGGTGTGTGATGACCTGGAAGTTCACATTCTGGGGTTCACAAGGGCAAGCATTAGAGCTTACAGTGCTCGCTATGTGTGGAGTGTCTGTGTGAGGAGCAGAGTGAGTGAAAGAGAGAAGAGGGGACTAGAGGAATGTAAGGCTAGGTCATGTCAGTGCTGGTTGTCCATGTTGAGGAAGAAGCTTGAGTTGTAAGGGGTCTTTGAGAGTGTAGCTTGCTGGTTTTAGAGTTTACATTTGTTCAGGTGCTGGTGAGGCTGAGAGTTGGTGGAGACAGTAAATGAAAGCTCCATAGCCTTTTGTAAAATTGCATTACTGAGTATGTTAAGCCTTACAACAGAGCACCCGGGGTCCCTGCTCAGCTTCTTCCTGGTTGTCCCAAGCCTCCTGCCTTTGCTATGAGTTTGGCAAGAGAGTAATGTGTGAATGCCTCTGAATGTGCTCTGAATGAGTGTCATTTTTTGGTCTTTATGCCTCTGTTATTGTTTCAGTGCCTCATAAAATTCCAGACTAGGGGTTCCTTTAGGAATTGAGTCCACTCTTTCGGTAGATGAGAAAACAGCTTAGAGTAGTAAAGGTCACTCAGCTAGTCAGGGCTGATCTTCCTAACAGAGTCCTCTGCTTATCTAAATTTTATAGCTGTTTTCTTGTTTTGGTACCAGGGATTGAACTCTAGTCCTTCCACTTGTGAGGCAGGCGGTGGAACCACTGAGCTAAATCCCCAGCCCTAGAACTGGTTTTTTTTTAGAGTTATTTGTTTTGGTTTTTTTCATTTCTGTGCCTTTGGTATGTATCTTTGTTGTCTGCTTGAAAGTATAATGAAAATGGTGCTCTAAAGGTTATTGTTGCAACCTGCGGACCAGGCACTTGCCATATATCAGTCCAGTGATCTCTCCTCCCAACATTTCTGGGTGGAGGTACTGCTATTTCCTCACCATTTTACTGGTGAGGAAACTGAGAAACAGAGGGTTAAGTATCTTCCTCCAGCGTGTTAGAGCCAGTATGCAGTGTACCCTGATTTTGGACCCTGGTTCTCTGGCACCTGGACTAGTACACTTCACCTCAAGTGTTTTGTCTTTCATTGTACACAGCTCCAGCCTGTTTCCTCAAAGAGAGTAAGCAACATGGTGCATCAGCCATGCAGCCACCTCAAATATTTGGGAAATCAATTCCAGGTACCTCAGATGAAGTGAAAATACAACCATGGGTGCAGGAAAGGTAGTGTAGGGGTTTATGCAGTCTGAGGAGTAGAAAAAACATTCCTCTCAGTGCCACTACATTGTATTTAACTTCCCATACTGGAAGTTCACAAAAGCCCTGAGTTTTGAAAGTACTAGTCTCTGTGATCACCAGCCACTAAATTGCATCTGCCACTAAAGGTCCCAGTAGGCTTTGAACCTGTTGTTCTTGGGAAATTCAAGCTGCGAGTGGGAGATAGAGAAAGAGTGAGCACCATTACACATGTATGCCTGTGCTTTGAGTCAGAGCTGTAATTGTATATGTACACACACACACACACACACACACGTATGTATTTTATATAGGGGGGAGAGGAAGGGTATATCTGATTAACCCAACTGAGAAGGATGTAACAATGTTCCAGGAGGGAGTCAATGAAATGAGTTTACTGTAAAAGAAAAATCGCCGTAGCCTGAGTCAGCCTGTGCGAGTGCTTTGGAAGAGGAAGGGGAGATGATGTAGTTGGTTCGGCATGTTCCCATCCTGGCCCCCTGAGAGTGCAGGGACCTGGGAGGTCGCAGAGAGTGAGTGCGTGTGCGGAGTTAATAGGGACGGGTGGGGATGTGTGTGAGAGTGGTCTGTGGAAGGGGATGAATAACCCCTTGTCAGGCCTTTCCCGGTTACTGTGTTTTTCAGTAATTTTGGTTGAATGAGGGCTCTCCAGCCAATTAATGTTTATTTGTTTCTTTTGGCAGCCCTGTTGGGGGAAGGGATAAGATGGGTGAGTTTAAATTTTTTTGTTTTGTTTTTCCGTCTTGGAAGAAGAGGCGAGTCATGTGAGTTTGGGTTTTCAATGATGGTCCCCCTCTCGTCCCCCCTTAGGAGGCAGGAGGCAAGATGTGGCCAGCTGGTGCCCGAACTGACACAGGTGCAGAGGCTGTGGGGGGTGGGGAGGCAAGAATAATTACAGGTTTCTGAAGCGTCAGGCCCTCCCTGACACAAGCACTCGTCGAGAAAACTGCTCTGTATGGAAAATTAATGGTGGAGCTGAAAACCCATTGGGCCTATTGTTGTTCATGGGAAGCCATTGCTCCTCAGAAGGGAGACTTCCCCCAAGACCAGGGCTCTCCCGAGGAGCTGGGACAGAATGGCCTCCTTCCTGAGGAGGGGGCCTGGATGTTACTGTCGCGGGCCATGGTGGAGTTTTCCTCTAAGACTCTCTTCTGCATTTCTTCTTACAAGTTTCACTTTCAGTCCAGATCTAGTCCTTTGTTCTTAATGTGTGTAGTCCTTTGCTCTTAGTATCTGTAGGGTTATTTTTCATTGACTCTTAAGGCACAGGTTTCATTGTGTTTGTTGAAATTGAATGACTAAAGTAGGGGCATCTAGTGAAACTTACTTTAGAGCTACAAAGTAGCAAATAGGATTTCCACCGTCAGCTGAAGAGTAGCTTCATTGGGAACAAGAGGATAGCAGGCCTGCTGTAATCCCATTGTGCATGAGCAGTGGTGTCTCTAGACTCTCAGAAGTTGGAATTTAGCTCTAGTCCAGTGGCCAAGAAACAGTGAGTGACTCTTCTTATGGGCCAGCTGCAATGGTGGGCAGAGGCCAGACTTCAAATCAATATGTGCTGAGAAGTAGCATCTGAATAAATAACGTGGAAACAAATTAGGAAGGGCTGTCCATGTGTGCATCGGCCCTCTTGTGCCTAGTGGACATGTTAATTTTGAAGCTCACAGACATATGAGGATAAGGCATTTCTAAGTGGTTAGGGATACAGGGGACCCCACTCCCTTAAGGAGCTAAAAAAGAGAACGAGGTCACAGTTCCCAGTGCTGTCTTGATTGCACGACTTTAGGCTTTCTTTAGCATTTAGTTTGGATTTGAGTTATTTGGGAGATTTCTTTTATGCATTGCAACAATGGAATCCTTGGAAGATGAAAGCACTGTTTGAGGCTGCTTTGCATCATGTGCCCAGGGAAAGTAATTTCAAAGACATCATCCTCTCCCCAGGCCTTTAATCTTGCCTCCTTCCTCCCTGGCCTCCCCAAGGAAAAATATACAAACAAATATTTTCTGTGTATGTGCAAAATAATTTGGGGAGGAGAAATGTTGGAGGAGTTTTGATAGACATTTCCCAACTTTCATGTTTATTTAGAATTAAATTAATTTCCACAGCATTGTCTCACAGAATTTACAAATTACTAGAGGGAAATGTTTAATTTGTTTTCAGCTCCAGCAAACAGTTGATGTGAGAAACAGTGGAAAAGAATGTGATCTTACATTGGATGTACTATTGTTATTTTGTGGAGTTCAGCAATTCTGACAGTAATGTGTAATATTACTGTACCTCTGGGGTGTGCTATTGATGTGGGTCTTTTTTTAACCTAATAGCTAAAAAATGCAGTAAGAGATTTTACTTACACTTGCTTACCCACATTTTCTGGGCAAAATTCATTGTCTCCTACCCTTCTGCCCTAATACTATCTAGTGATGAAAATTTTTTTTAAAAGGTGAACATTTTCTTAAAGTCATCTTAACACTCATTTTCTGGGTTTTCCAGGTTTGGGAGATTGATTCTTCTCACTGGTTTCTGTCCTTTGTGCCATAAAATAGATTCAGTATGACCATCCTCTTACTCAAAACTGCTTTAAAATGTTGAATACTCAAGAAGGAAGGCAGAAAAATTCATGTATGTGGCTGCTGAGGTTTTTCTCCTGGGCTTATTGAATTTATTAATCATGGCTCTTCAATCCCCTCTACCACCCAAGAAAAAATGGTACCAGATCTCTCTGGCTATGCTTCCCACTTCCCTTCCCATCTTTCAACTCTGACCTAATTTTAAAAACCTAGAAGTATGTTGGAATCATACATCATATCATTCCCACAAAGTTCCCATCAATATCAATCTTTGCAATTCTACTGTTTTTAAAAATTGGTTTCAAAAGTCAAAGGAATATATTTCTGTCTTCTCCTTTTTTTTTTGCTAAAAAGTGTGAGGTGTAAGCCCATGGATGAAGTTAGAAAAGAAGTAATATTTTATACGATGATGTGAAAAAAGAAACCCCAATTTCCCACCTATTAGTAGCTTGTTTGGGTCACTCTGAATTTTCATCCTGGGATGTGTTTGAAGATCTTAAAGCACACAACACTAATTGAGCTTTGGGATTCTCTTAGGAGAAAGTGGAGGGTTCGTTCCCTCTTTCTCTGCTTCAGATTCTTTGGGGACTGTGACATCATGGTTAGTAGCACATGACAAAACCACACATAATAAATGTCAGAAAGAGGCTCCCATGGGGATCCAACAACAGTTCACCTGTGTAAGTAATTACCTGGGGGAACATTCTTTCTTGGAACCAAAGGCCACCCCTTACCGTCAGGTCAAAGTCTGAGCTCAGAGAAGAATCACTTTGCAAGTTTCTAAGAAGTAGAAAGCTGCACTTCCCCATGTTTTTACAACTATATTTCCCCCAAAATTTATTTTAGCCCTTTATATTTTTAACTCATGGCCCTTTTAGATGTGGTACGTGGTATGATTAAGAACAGTTGGCCAAAGGAACCACAAATGATTGATAGTTGACCAACAACTTAGGTAGTAATAGATGGCTTTTTATTTCTTCAACTCTATTATTCCAGAAAAAAATCATTAGCAAAATGCAATTTCTCTATGTTTCTTTTTTCTTTTTCTCTCCTGGCTTACCAACTTTAGTATACAGGGATCCCAAAACTCCAAGTAATTACTCATTATGGTGCAGTTACTGAATGGTGGCAAATATATTGCACTGATGGCTTTGTCTTATGTTCAAACTAAAACACACAGAAATAAAAATCAGAACATTTTATTTCCTGAATATTTAAAAGGGCATGGTATTGAGGAGCTTAAAGTCTATACTCATTTTAAGATTATATTCTTAGAAACCAGACATTCCACCAAGCTGTGGACTTTTAGCTTTAAGGTAGAGGTACTGTTTAATTAACCAAGGTTGAGGAGGGATAGCTTTCAACATTTAATCAGGAGTACATTTTCTTTACTCTCTTTTTGCCTAGACTCTCTTCCTGTAGAGATAGATTTTATCTTGAACTTTCACTGAAAATATGACTTCTGGTAGGGAAAGTGAAAGATTGTCTTAAGAATAAGGCATGAGAGAAAGTAAACAGAAGAAAAACAGCTGACCAAAACCTTTTAGATGATGGTCATAAGGAAGATGTAAAAAATGACAAGAGATGTTAGCCATGGTGACTGGTAAGTTTCATGTGATTTATGAGGAGATAAGGACAGGTTGAACAAAAGCCATTTGGTCATCTTGGCTTAATATCCTATCCATATATGACCAAATATCTTCATTTTTCTTGAACCCATGAGTATAACCACTTTTTGCTGGTGGCAGGGACATTTTCATAAACTTAATATGTGTTTGAAGACTTGAATTATCTTGTTCTCTTTCATTGTCTGCCTCTGGAACCTATCATAGAAGTTGTAGATATGGCAGAAATAGGTTGGAAATCATTTCTTTTTTAACTAGGTCTTGGATTATTACTTTTAATAAGCATGTTTCAACAAGTACAAAAGCTATGAAAAGCATGAAGGGAGTATTAAAAGAGCTTTCAGGGTGATCATTTCAAAACCAATTTCAGGTGATATTTATTAGGAGACTAAAAGAAGAAGAAACCCTGCATTTCTAAGTTGAGATATCAGAGTCTTCACAAAGCTCATTTGGGACTTATATTAGAAAATCATTTTGCACATGAGAACATTTCCTTCTCTGCTGACTGTAGTGAGTTTTTCAGGGCTGGAGGTTGATCTGGTGGTTCAGTCCTGAAGGTGCATTGTTAGATCATGCTGAGAGAAGCCTCGTACCTCCTGAGTTACCAGATGACTATAATTGATGTCACTAAACTGACATCTGCTGACTCAGATTTGGAGTTTACTGGCTGGAGTGTCATTGGAACAGAGCAAATCTCTTCTTCTGGTGGATAAACAAACATTTGAACTCTGTCCACATTGACAGTCTAAAGACAGTTATAGTTTGCTGGTGGTTCTCCTCCATGTCCCCCACCAAATCTACCTAAACCAAAGACAATTTTCTTTACTAGGAAATTATCATTGATGCTATACCATGAACTAATTTTATTTGAACTGCATTAGTTTTCCAACTAATGTCCTTTTACTGTCCAGGATCCAGGACAGAATCTTATGTTTACTTGTCATATCTCCTTACATCTCTTCTCATGTGTGACAACTTCTTGGTCTTTCTTTATTCCTTATAATCTTGACACTTATGAAAAAAATACTGACCAATTATTTTTTAGAAAGATCTTAATATTTGTCTGATATTTTCTTGTGTTTAGATTGAGTTTATACATTTTTGGCAGGAGTATCCCAGAGTAATGTGTATTAGGGTTTATGCTATCAGAAGAGTAATTACTGTTAACCTTGATCAGATGGTTAAGGTTGTGTCTGCCTACTTTCTCCACTGCAAGGTTAGTGTTTTTGTCTTTGTAATTAATGAATACTTTGTGGGAGGATGCTTTGAGAATAGGTAGGTATCATGCTTTTATCGTACTTTGCATCTACTGATTTTAGCATCCACTGGTTTGTTCTACTTACAATTATTGTTACTTCATTATTTGTCTTATGGTGATTTTTAAAATTATCAGTGCTTCTCTATTTATTAATTGTAATTTTACTATAAGGGAGAGCAGACCCTCTCCATTTATTTATTCAGTCATTTTTATATCAAAATGGAGTTTTACTTTAGTTTATTGGTTTATAATACATCATTTTTGTTACTCATTTCTTTGCTCAGATTGTCCATATTTGACCAGTGAGAGCAATCAGAGTTAGCACCTGAGCCTTTTTGACATAGCCCCTCACTGAATGACCCCTTTCTTATTTTCTGGTCCTACAAATACATATTCTTAGCTTATTTTATAATTTTTTTTTGCTCCAACTCTGAAAACAACTATTTCTCCAATGAACCCTGATTCTTGTTGCAGGGAATGATACTTAAAAACCAAGATCTGGGCTGGGGATTTAGCTCAGTGGTTTCGCCGCCTGCTTTGCAAGAACAAGGACCCAAGTTTGATCCCTGGTACCAAAGAAACAAACAAACAAACAAATAAAAACCAACATCTTTCTGTGTTCATTGCTATATGAGAATGTTGGCTTGTAGGCTCTTTCAGTAGATGAAGTTAGGAAAATATCCATATGTATACTCATGCATATACATACTTATTTCTCTAGACATCTTGATGTATATTAAAATCCATGAGTAAATACTGATACCGCAAGTTCTGATTAAACAATGTGGACATTTATTGAGAAAGTTCTCATAATTACTGTAAATAAACATTCTCTTTGGCTTGAAAATAATCTAGTCTTAAAACCCTCCGCATCATTAGCAGTTTAATCTTTCCACTCATGATGAGAATACTTTTAGGCCCCTTACCCCGTGTTCCAGTTGACACCTTCTTGAGCTAAGCTTCATCTCCATCTAATACAGTGAGAAGTGGATTTCATAATGATTCCACAGGGCTTTGAGGCACCCCCTGATGGGCAGCTGTGCTTCTCTAAGTCTCAGCTGGAATAAGAATGTCCTGCAACACAGTTACAATGTAGAGCCTCTCTGAAGTGATCCAGGTTTTAGTGACCAAGGTCTCTCCATGTTTAGATCATAAGTACGACTCATGTGCTCCTGGGATGCAAACCAGGGCATATTGGAAAGATTATTTTTTATTCCTCCCAGAAAAGCATATAAATGTGTTTAGAATATTTCAGTGCCTTAAACTCAGAATATGGAAAGATTTGAGCCTCCAAACGATCAAATTCTTGGTGACTTTTTGAGCTAAGAAGTATGTAAGGGGCCAGGGCCTACTAAAGCTGTACCCAACAGTCATTGGCACTTGAGTGTGTAGGAGGAAGGGAACTACCTCAAGGACATCCTGTAACCCATAATTTAGCTTATTTTTACTTGGAATATATCCATGTCTCAAAGATCTGTTTCTTTGGGCAAAGTTCAAGAAGCATTATGATTGTACTCTTGAAGATATGTATTAGTGGTCATTTCTAAGACTGCCAGCCTCAGCAAGATGGACCATACTATTGGCCATCACATCAACCTCAATAAATTTAAAAGGATCAATATCTTATAAAGTATGCTACTTGATAACAAAGAAATCAAACTAGAAATCAATAATAGAAACATATCTAGAGCATTCTAAAATATCTGGACATTAATAAACTTTTTCCATTACTCCCAGGAATGGTGGATTCTGCTACTGAAAACAGTGATAAAATAATGAGCTTAAAATAAAAGCAGCTACCTAAAGGGACGGGAGAGTCAACAGAAACAGGCAGATTTTGATGACAAATACAGCAGGGGGAAGTAGGGGCACTATATGAATACATGTTCACAATTTTGGAAACTTGGCTAGGTGCCACAGGTAGGGAAACTACCAGGGTCTGGTGTCAGAAAATGGCTTTTGAAGAGTGAAGAAGATGGAAAGTCATAGAATATAGTTAGTTGTGTCTTTGATACTCATTACATACTGTACATGGTAGGTAATAGTTTAAAAAGGGAAGAAGATGATTAAGAGAGTTTTGGGGATTCGAATTTTCTAATTCAGAAGTTAATTTACTGGAGCTAAGAGTAACCGTTTTGATATCAGAGAGAGCTAAATGAAAATTTCTAACGAGGTAGAAAAAGGAAGGGGAAAGTTTTGAGTCATAAAATTCAGAATATGGGCAAGTGAGGATAATGTCAATTTCTAGATAGATATGAGAAGTGGTAGTACTGAAGGATTGGTTTCTGATATGAGATATTATTTAATCAATAAGTTAAAAAAAAAACTGACTTTTCCACTAAGCTTTTCTTGAAGAATACCTCTGTCTTAGAGCGTAGAGTTCATTACCGGTCATCCCGTAACAATTTATCAATACCCTTTACAGAATATACTTTGGTGGGCCAGGGATTTAGCTCAGTGGTTCTGGTGTCAGCCTCGCAAGTGCACAGTCCCAAGTTCAATCCCTGGTACCAAAAAAAAAAAAAAGAATATACTTTGGTATCATATTGCTTTGCAAATTTTTGTAATTTTTAGCTTCTGATTATTTATTCTGTACTTGTATCACATGGGTCTATTTACACTGTCTTCTTCTAACACAAGCAAAGCCCTGCAACCTGCAGTGAGCACAGTAGTTGAACGAACACTTGTGATGTGAGTACTGAATGAAGATTGGAACCATTCATTCATTCATATCATTAATAATCAGTAGCAGACATTCATCATTGAAAATTTGCACCTTTACATAATCTCTCTTGGTTCTTATTTTTCACCCTTGCCCAGCCCTCCCTTCAACCCCTCCATTCCTCTCTATTTACAGAGATTTTGTTCCTATTTTTCCATTTTCTCATATTAATTCCATACCCTTCTTTCCTTTCCCCTACCCCTCCCACTTCCTTCCCCTTTGCCCCTTTTCTTCCTATTTCACATTACCTATTATACATTTAGTCCTTATTTACACTTTCAATTTCTTATACCAGAGAAACTGTTCGGTATATATACATATGTGTCCTATTTATTTCACTTAAGAGTATCGCCTCAATGTGCATCCATTTAGCTAGAAATGTCTCTAATTTCTCATTTTTTATGGCTGAGTAGTACTTCATTTTATTAAAAAATTACATTTTCTTTATCCAGTCTCCAGTTGATGGGCATTCGGGCTGTTTCCAAGTTTTAGCTATCACAAACTGTGCTGCTATGAACATGGGTGCACATATATCACTGTGGTATGATTCTTTTAATTCTTTGGGGAAGATCCCCAGCAGTGGAATAGTGGGGTCAAATGGGACTTCCAGTCCTAGTTCTTTGAGGTATCTCCATACTGATTTCCACAGTGCTTGCACCAGTCTACACTCCCACCAGCAGTGGAGCAAGGTTCCTCTTTCCCCACAGCCCCACCAGTATTTGTTATTGGTTGATTTCATGATAGCAGCCATTCTTTCTGGTGTGAGGTGGAATCTCAGCGTTGTTTTCCAAGGATGAATGTCATTGTATTGTATACCTGAAATGTACCAATGATTAGAATGAATAATCGATGATGTAAAATACGAAGAAAAGGTCCAAAGGGGTTGGGGTAGTGGGAGGGGGAGGGGAAAGGAAAGAAGGGAAAGGAAAAATGATGAGAAATGAAAAAAATGGAAATAAAGTCTTTGTAAATAGTGAAGGGTGGAGGGGGTGAAGGGAGGGCTAGGAATGGGGAAAAAATAAGAACCAAGATGCATCATGTAAAAGTACAAGTTCCCAATGAGAAATGTAATTGTGTTGTATACCTAAAATGTACCAATAAAAGAATTTAAGAAAAACAAAACAAACAAACAAAAAATAGATACCTCTGGTGGAAGTACTGTATTTCTGAATGGGAAGCACTCCTAATCTGAGTTTAGCACGTCTTTGCTAAGTAACTATGAGACTAAAACATTAAAGTTACTTTCTTTGTTTGATCTTATTATCGCTTCTATCAAAAAAAAAATCAACAGCAGAGCTCAAAGCTGATTCACAGTTAAGAATCTGCTTTTTGTACTCAGGAATGCAGAGTTTTAGCAGAAGTCTGATTAAAAAAACTAATCTTTTGGAATGTCACCAAAATAAAACCTTGACAGATACAATAGAACTGGGCATATCATTAAAATACATTCTTAACAGTATAAAAGCCTAGAATCAGAATATCGGTTGAAAATATACAAGCTTTATGGCGGCGGTTAATCTGAAACTCGTCACACTTTACATTTGCCATTCGTCTTTCTCTGTTGAAGCCAAGAAAATGGAGCAGATTGGGCTGATGCTGGATGTTAAACAATGTACTTTTATACAAGAGTCTGGAGTAGTAGAATTTTTAAGTGAGGACAGCTTTAGGATGATGCAAACATCTAAAGTATTAAATTTTGCTATGAAAGTGCTTCTATCATCTTACAAAGGCTTATGAGGATCATGGATGAAGATTTGTTGGAACTAAAATTTTTTGGTTCTTCTCTATTTCTTTACCAAGTGACAATTTTATGTTGAGATAAATACAGTCCTGTCTTTAACAAGTCTTGGGAGTTGTGTCTGAACTTATTTTTTCATCCTATAGTGAGGGATACTAAACCATTGTAAAGGGATCCTTGCTCCTTGCCACAGAGTGTTGTAGAAATTATATTTTTAGTAAGTTGCTATAAACAACCAGCAAATTCTCTGTCCCTTGCCCCTCTGCCCAACAGCACGTGGTCTGTTGGTGTTCTTTGCCTCTGATGATTGTTTCTCTCCCCGTCCTTCCTCTCCACAGACATGCCTTGAATTGGAACGCTACCTACAGACAGAGCCCAGGCGGATCTCGGAGACCTTTGGTGAGGACTTGGACTGTTTCCTCCACGCCTCTCCTCCCCCGTGCATTGAGGAAAGCTTCCGGCGCTTAGACCCCCTGCTGCTCCCAGTGGAAGCCACCATCTGCGAGAAGAGCTCCGCAGTGGACATTTTGCTCTCTCGGGACAAGTTGCTCTCTGAGACCTGCCTCAGCCTCCAGCCAACCAGCTCTTCTCTGGACAGCTACACAGCCGTCAACCAGGCCCAGCTCAACGCAGTGACCTCATTAACCCCCCCATCGTCTCCTGAGCTCAGCCGCCATCTAGTCAAAACCTCACAGACTCTCTCAGCCGTGGATGGCACGGTGACGTTGAAACTGGTGGCCAAGAAGGCTGCGCTCAGCTCAGTAAAGGTGGGAGGGGTGGCAGCAGCGGCGGCAGCCGTGGCACCAGCTGGGGCAGTTAAGAGTGGACAGAGCGACAGCGAACAAGGAGGGCTAGGGGCTGAAGCATGCCCCGAAAACAAGAAGAGGGTGCACCGCTGTCAGTTTAACGGGTGCCGGAAAGTTTATACAAAAAGCTCCCACTTAAAGGCCCACCAGAGGACTCACACAGGTAGTGGTACAAGTTGGCCGCACGTGGTTTCTTCCTCTTTCCTGCTTTTGCTGCGCGGTGGGAAGGGCTGCTCTGTTCTAAGAAGCGGCCTTCGTGCTAAATAGGCAGGGTGCAGAGGGAGGAGGGCTGGGGTGGGACGGCAGAACAACTTAATTCTCGCCCCAGGAATCTCAAGATGCCCCAAATACTGGTCATGGGTTTGTCACTGGCTGGCTGAGAGCTGTTTGCAGAGGCAATTCCAAGCACGGCCTAAAATCCAGCCTTTTGAGGCAGATGGAAGGGAGCTCTGGTGTGCCATATCAGGATCGCGTCCCTTCGCTGGCACTCCTGTCATTGTCGTAGAGTGTAGCACTGCAGGTTTGGTCAACATGGAAATCTGGGGAGAAATGTTTGAAAGCATTCACAGTTAAACAAGGCAGCTAGGCTGTCCTTATTCACTCTTTTCCCAGCATCCCTGGTTTTTCATCAAAGACACCAGCAGCAGGAGGGTTTCAGAGTTCATTAGATGTGATCATTCTATAATTAATTGGCATCTCCTCTTTTGCATTGTTCTCTGGCGCGTGCTTTATGGAGAGATGGCAGAATTGCTTTTTAATGAGCTTGTTACTGAGAAGTTGCTAAAGTGATTACATTGCTATGTGTGTGGTAAGGGTGGGTGGTGGAGGGATGGGCACTGTACATTGTACTCAGGGCTTCTGTGGTAATTCCAAGAGTCATATTGATCTTTTGAGCAATAGGATCATTTGGAAGAAAAGGGATTACACAGAACAGAGAGAGACTGGCATTTTCCATAAGGCTGGTCTCTGTTCTCTTCTTCAAGGTTGGCGCTTGGAGGAGGCACCTGTTCTTGGTCTGCTAGAATGCTACTAGGAGCAATTACTTAGAGTGGTGATTTTTAGGTGGGTCACTAACAGAGTATGACTTCTGTGGCTTTTGGATACTGCCTGTACACTGCGAGCTGAATAGAGAAAATCCCCCACGTGTAAGTGGTAGATTAAGAGCGTTCCCAGAGAGAAGTGTGTGATAGCACATGAGGCAGGAGCAGGGTCTGGTATTCTGGGGGTCTGTGGACTGGGCCACCAAGGAGGAGTGCACTGGAAAGTTCACTGACTGGACAATCAGAGCAATCTGAGTTGTAGTCCTTACTGACACTAACTAGCTCTGCCACCTTGAGTTTGTTGCTTTATCTCTCTAGTCCTCATTTTCCACGTTTGTCAAATAATTTGGCTATTAAGGTTCCTTTCCACTCTGATACCTTGGTAGTCCATGAAATATCTTTGTACAGTGCTGAAGAACTTTTCTAAAGTAGGAAGGCATACTATGTGACTTGAAGAAATCACTGTTTTGAAGATCAAAGTTATTCCTATGAGATAAGAACTGATGTTGCTTCCTTACAAGCAGGATGTAGGCTTATAGGCTGGTAATTCCTAGCTTAGTTTCCCTTTGGCTCTTACTTTTGGGATAGTCTCCTAACAATTTTGGAATCCTGTGTCTCAGATGTAGAGTTCCATTCTTGGATTTCCATCAGAATTTGGGTTCCACCTCTCCACTCCCCATACACCAAGACCAAGGCTTCCTGTATTTGCCAATTTCTTTCCCTTCTCTGATACTGTTCTAAAATTAATATTTATCCATATTTCCTTCTTTCTGAAGTCAGTGACTAAGTTAATGACAAGACATCACAGTGCTCCCAGGCTTCAATGCCTGACTCACTTTTGTTTCAACCCCTCAGGAAATCAGAGAAAGCAAGATGAGGCAAAAATGTTGAGATGTGTTGGGGCTGTGAAATTCATGGTTATGGACACCTTTCTGAATCACATTAAGAAAGCCTACATCCTGCCTTGTGTGGAAGCTGGACAGCACCGGGAGTAGCAGGGGATTCTTCTGGAGGAGTGCAGAGAATGTTCCTCTTCTTTCTATCCCATTTTCCCTGCAGAAGTGTCAAAAGGGTAACTGTTATGACCGATGCCTTACGTGGTGTTTTGCCTTTTTATCATTGTCTGCTCAGGATGATTACCAAAGCAGGGCCTATGATGGTAACCAGCACCTGCAGCCACCTGCCTTAGGTGGATTGCTTTGGAGAGACTCCCCCTCATGGGGCATTGACTAAAGGAGGAGCCAAACGTTGTTAGAAAAGCAGCATACAGGGTAATTACAAGCAGGGCTTTGCACTCACCTAGACGGGGTTTGGCTCTACTACTTTCTAGATTTATGACCTGTTTAAATTATTTATCTTCTCTGAGGCTCAGTTTCCTCAGCTGTAAAATAGGGACAGTTGCATTTACCTCATAGATTGTTTTGAAGAGAAAGTAAGCAGATTACTTGACAGATAGTAAGAACTCATTCAAGCAGTAGTGGGGATCATTGTAGTTATTACTGTTGTTTTTTAATATAGCTCTCATAGATTGATGAAAAGATAAAACAAATTACTTGGCAGATAGTAAGAACTCATTAAAAATAGCAATAGAATTGTTGCAGTTGTTACTATTATTACCACTGATTAGTGGTAATTGAGTGAAAAACAGATTTCTGTAAACTAGAAATGAGCCAGTTGGCCAGAATTAAATACAGATCGAGTATCCCTGATCTGAAAATCCAAAATCCAAACTATCCCCAAACCTAAACGTTGAAGAGTCCATGTGACACCACAAGTAGAAAATTACACATCCAATCTCACGGGACAAGTCACAGTCAAAATGGAATCACACTAAAAATCTTGTATAAAATTCCCTTCAGACTATGAAGATGAAGTGAATATAAATCATAAATGAATTTTGTTCAAATTTGGGTCCTATCAAGGTATCTCATTATATGTATGCAAGTATTCCAAAATCAGAAAAGAAATCCCACATCTGAACAACTTTCTGGTCCCAGTCATTTCAGATGAGGGTTATTCAACCTGTGCCACAAAAAATTAAGAAGCTTTTCTCTCTCTGTTTCCAGTGGTTGATCAGTGAGGTGGGGGGTGATAGTGTTCACAGACCTGGCTGTGCAAGCATCAGCCCACAGGAATGGAGAAATTGGCTTTCCAGAGACAAGGCAGGAAGCATTTTGCCTGTAAAACCTTCCTCACAGACAGCATGGAAGGAAAGCTAGGTGCTGTAGGAAAGAGAAATTGATGAGAGGGGAAGGTGGGGATGGGAATGGAGGGTGGGAGAGAGAAAATGAATTAATTTGGATTAAATGGATGAGAATCATAAGTATTTATTTGGAATTGGTGTAAATGGGGCACATGGGGAACTGAAAACAAAGGTGATAATTTATGTGGTGTGGATGAACTCCGAATAATGGAAAAAGCATGAAGAATGAAATCAAATTAAGTGCAAACATATAAAGAAAATGGACTGGTAAAAGCTTGAGGGCAAAGGTATATGGCAATGGGAATTCAGATGGGAAAGAGGCTGCTGGTACAGGGAGTGGAGTAGCAAGAGTTGCTGACCAAATTTTGAAACAAAGTTTTCAAAAATGGGTGCTGGATGGATTGAGGCAAACTATTTTAGCACAAGACTCACTTCATTCAGTGGAAATATTTCTCATCTTTCATTTGGAGAGGAATTTTGGGGCAGAAAGAAAATATCATCCCAGAGAGGGGAGCTACTGGCATTTTGTTCTGGAGAGTTATATATATATGCCATATCTCTTTTATATGGTAATGTGTTACAAAGGAGACAGTTGGAAAAAATGAAATAAAATAAAATGTGCGGGTCTCTACCTTCTCTGCATAAAGAAAGACAATACATGAATTGGGACATGGATTTGTGTGCATTGAGGAATTTCTAAAAGTGTTATTCATTTAGTCTTTATATGGACAGAATTTACTCAGCTGGAAAAGATTTGCATTTTTTCCCCTTCTGTGGCTGTTTTTTGAGGATGCTGAATCCTCCAAACTTTTTATCCTGGAGGATATTAAGCAATGAGGTGATCTTTTTCTTAAGGTAGCAGATGTTCAAGTCGGTAGCTGGGCACAAATACAAGTTGCCCAAGGAGGTAAAGTTAGGAGTGAGGGGAAAGAAGCTGAGACAGGGAATGAGACAAAGGGGCTATAATGAAGTATCAGGATCGTAGTGGAAAACAACACATGGAAATGGGCATATGGTTGATTCATTGGGAAGAGCACTTAGGGCTGGTATGAGCATAAAAATGCCCTTTAGCAGCCAAATCATTGCACACCTTCATCGCGTACTGTTTTCTGGTCCTTGTATGATATATTTTTCTTTCTCAATAATTCAACCCCTGCAATCATAGTTTTATCTATCTTCTTGGAATTAGCTAAATAACTCTTATGTTGTGATGCAAGGAAAACCTTCACTTCCAGTAATAAAATAAATCAAGCCCTCTTTATGAGGCTTATTTTCAGCAAAACGCAGTTTGTTAAAATGTTAGTACTTTGTGTGCAAAAAGAGAAAGAACTTTTTCCACATTTCTTCTTGATCTTTTCTCAGAAGAAAGAAAAGCCTGAAATTGAAATGGTCCTTTATGCTAATTGAGTGGACTTTTTGAATTTGGAAATTCATATCAAAGGAGGAAACAGAACAGCAATTAAATCTTGAGTTCTTGGTCACTGTGAAAAAGCCATGTTTGCTTAGTTGCCACTTGAGGGCTGTTCCTAAAGACTAAATTCTGGTGATAGTTTTTGCACAAAGGGCGTAACAGGATGCTTTTTAAATAGAATGGTTATACAAGTGTGCAATCTGCTTAGCATTTTACATCTGCTTTGGGGCAGGTCTTTTTGAATCGAGATGGAACAATCTAAATTTAATGAGGATTTGTAGTTTGTTTTCAGATGAAAATGTGGCTAAAAACATTTGAAATAAAAGGATAAGTATAGTGTTTAGGAGACAAACAAAAGTGCCTATATCACATACATGATGAAAATTCTTTAAAATTTGAAATATAATTTACTTATTATACTTGTTCCACAGGTACTTCATAAAACACTTGCAGCGTGGCAGGGACTTTTTGTGTCTTTTATAATATTAACCCTTTTAACTATCAAATTAAGT